TGCCTGATGTCCAGCCAGAAGGATGAGCGGGCTGCAAAATGCAGCCTAGTGCCCGGCCCTGCCCAATAGAAGCCCATGCTATTTTGGGCTGGGCCATTGCGGGCAGGGCAGGGTTTCTTGCCCAAATTTATAACTTGAGTCGTGAAACTGCTGTATGCCTGAACAGATATCCATACTTTAAGAATTTAACAATATCCATAATTTATTAAAAACAAGACAATAAAAAAATTGTAATTAAAGTCTTAAAATCCAAATAATTTGCATCAACCTCCACAAAGTTGAGAAAATAACAAAATATATAAAAAAAAATACAAGCTATATTAACATGTTCAATTATATTATTAACTTATAGTTTAATATAATTTATAGAGATTTATATATTACATTCAAATTGGTATAATTAGTATTATTTCATGATATATGAAGTAATATCAACATATAAAAGTTAAAAAATAATTATAGTACACAGCAAGAAAATTTTAAAAAGTTAAAAAAGGTGGTGTGTTTTTTTTAAAAAAAACTAGAACTTTAAAAATATAAAGTCTAATAATATAAGAGGGTAATGTTCCTTTTGAAGTATAATAAAATATAGTATATTAATATTACACTATACACATTATAATTCTGAGAAAATATATATTATAATATAAATAATTATATATATATTGGGCAGGGCCAAATGGACAGGGCTACATGCCATGCCCACAGCCCGGCCCTGCCTTGCCCATGATAACCCAGCTCGAGAATGCCCATTTTTTTCTTCGGGCCGCATTTTTTGGCTTGGGTAGGGTATTTTTTTCGTAGGCTTGAGCAAGCATACTAGGCTATGAGGTCTCATGAACACCCTAATTACATTCAAATCAAGTGGTTCGAATATATTGTTGAGATTTTGAGGTAACTCGAATGCAAAGAGAATCAAGATTGACCTTTGATAAACTTAGAGTGAACTTGGTGTAGCACAATTTTTATATATTTTATCCCACCTTATTCATATATTTTTATTATAATTTAGGTTAATATGAATTTATAACATACTATTGAGATTATGACATAATCTTGTTTTTATTTGCCAAAACATCCACATAATTACATCATCAATATATCATTTGATTTTTAACGTAAATATTGTGTCCATTTATATCTTTAAGTTTCTTTCTTGATTCATATAATCTAATATAAATTACATTCTATTCACCAAAACAAAAGATTAAACACATTTTATACTATCAACACAAGTTGTGTAAGTTCAAACGAAGAAAATAAAACGTTACGTAGATAATATCAACAAGTTAACACACCCTAATATGTTAATAAAAAATTAATATAATCTCAATATCGATCTAAAATTTATAAAATGTCAAATTATGAACAAATTATTATGAGAAATGTGTCCTATTATTTATAATTTATCGTTTATAAATAGATTGTGTGCTTTGTTGGAGTTTTATATTTTGTATCCTCCTCAAAATCAATTGACAAAAACTATCTAATCCACAAACACATATAAGAGTAAACACTAAAAGAAATTAAGAAAGATGAGAGAAATTTATTATAAAATAAAAATAAATTATAAAAATTTCCTTTCAATCGTTTAAAATTGTGCGTTTTTAAATTTCTATATATATATATATATGTATATGTAACAAATTGTAAAAGACCTCTAGTTTTCCTAAAATTACATCATTTTTATTTTTAATTAAATTTTTTTGTCAAATTTGAAAATAAAATTATAATTCTGAGAAAACTGAACAATATTCATGTTATTGTTTCGATAGATATTCATGTAAGATGTAAAAATAGAGAGAAATTCCAATAAAAAAAAGAGAGAAATTCAGTTTCTTTTAGTGAAATTTAAAAATTCATATGAGTTTTAAAACGGAATATGGGAGAAAATATAGGAGGTTTAATTAGGGATAGTTTATGATTTGGACCCAATAGAAACTTGTCCCAAAAAACTCAAAAATTACAAATTGAGCAACGAGTTACAAAAACAATTAAGAATTAAGAAAGAAAATAACAAGAATAAGAAAGAGATAAGTGATATTGAAATTAGGAAAATGAATAAGTGTTCCGGAGAACGCTAAGTATATGAAACTCAAAAGCTAATGGAAAATGACTTAGGAATTCCATACATAACAAGCATAATTCTATAAAAAATACATAACCAATAAGTAAATACTTGTGAAAAAAAATTCTTATTCATAATTCCATAATTGATCTCCCAAAATAGCATATACAAAAGGGTTATTTATAACTTAATAGGCCGACTTTAACTAGGACTTTTAACTTACTAAGACTCTTCTAAAAATATTAATTTAGTTGAAAAACCTGAAAGGATTAGGATACATGATGGTAGATATGGTTAAAAGATAAATAAAAATAATGGAAATATTTTTAATTACAGTAGATTATTTAGATAATCTACTTAATATTAAGGGGTTTAATAAATAATGAATTAATTAATGAAAGTCATTGAGGATATGGAAGAATATTAGATTATTTGAAATAATCTAATTTATGAATGGATCAGGGTTAATGGTTATTAAATATACTTTAAATTTGGATAAATAATATTATGAAAGACAATCTAATTATAGGGATAAAGAATCAAATCAAATCATGAAATATACTTTGATTTATATGAGGATAATAATATGGGCTTTTAAACTAAAAGAGTAATCATTTTGACCCAAAAAAACTAAAAGATTAATCACATAATAAAAATAAATAAACTCTAATATGTCATTAACGATTAAAGGGCATCTAAACACTAATTAATGACTATTGGCTCATGGCTTTATTAAAAAGAATTACAAAATAAAAAAAATTTATTGGCTTAAACAAAATAAATAGACTCTTGCTGGATTGATCTTCAAGTTATGAAGGTTAGCATCAATTTAATGTTCTTAAATTTATATTTTAGTAGGTTTTATGATGAATGATGCCCACTACATCAGCTAAAAATTAAGAATAAATTTGACTGATGCTATAAAATTGCTGAGTAGCTTTGAGCTATTTTTTTTATTTTTATTTTACAGTGAAACACCTAATTTGTTGGATCTACTTAATTTAAAGGGTTAAAGTGCGCCCAACACCCCGAATTATTTTTTCAGATGCGTCTAGTGTCCTAAAGTAATTTTTGGTGCATCTAGTGTCCTAAACTAATTAAAATGGTGCACCCACATCCCAGGCCAACAGAAAAGTTAAGTTTGACTGTTATCTTGCTAACTTAGCCAAAGGTTGACCGTAAAATCCTATGTGGCAGGCACACAGGCGTTTGATGTGTATTATTTTGACAGGTTAAAGTGCGCCCAACACCCCGAACTATTTTCCTGGGTGCGCCCAGCGTCCTAAAGTAATTTTTGGTGCATCTAGTGTCCCAAATTAATTAAAACGGTGTGTCCACATCTTAGGTTAACAGAAAAGTCTCGTTTGACCGTTATCTTGCTGACTCAGCTGAAAGTTGACCAAAAAATCCTATGTGGCGGACACGTGGGCGTTTGATCTGTATTATTTTGACTAAAGCTTCCGAGACAAGCCTGGTGAAGGTGAGTGTTTTCTTGGGAGGCGACGACGATATCGATGGAGTGACCAAGGGAAGTTTACTGTGTTCTATGAGGAGGAAAGCAAATGTGAGTCGAATGAGGAGTTGACAGAGACGGAGACAGAAGTGTGCTATGATGGCAGTTGTGGTTTTCAAATTGGAGTGGTGGAAGAAATAGGATAAAATGTTAAAGAGGAGGATGGGATTGAATAGGTGATACATGTACTAGGATTTAAGAGGGTGGATCGGTGGTCTTTCTTTTCTTTAAGTTTAAAAACTGGCAGAAGATAAATGTTAGAAGAGGAGGAAATAAATTGAATTTTTAGTCTAAATAATTCACATCAGACGCCTATGTATCCGCCATGTAGGGTTTTTCGGTCAACCTTCAGTTGAGTTAGTAAGGTAACAGTCAAACGAGACTTTTCTGTTAGCCTGGGATGTTGATGTATCGTTTTAATTAGTTTGGGACACTGGATGCACAAAAAATTACTTTAGGACATTGGGCGCATTTGGGAAAATAGTTCAAGGTGTTGGATATACCTTAACTCGTCAAAATAATACACATTAGATGCTTGCGTGTCCGCTACGTAGGATTTTTTGGTCAACCTTCGGCTGAGTCAGTAAGACAACGGTTAAACTTAACTTTTCTGTTACCTCAGGATATAAATGCACCGTTTTAATTAGTTTGGAGCACTGGATGTACTGAAAATTACTTTAGGACCCTGGACGCACCTGGAAAAATAGTTTGGGGTACATGTTTGACTTGATTTGCATTAGATTGAATTAAGATAAATATTCCACTTTAAGTTGGATAAGTCCAAAAAATTATGAAAAAATTCTTGACCGTTGAATTTCAAAATTCCAAATCAGGAATTACTATAAAAATATGTTATTATTTATTTTTTTGAGTATAATCATTTTTTTTACTAGTGTAATAACCAATATTGATTTGAAATTTTAAAATTCAACTATTATTTTTTTGAAATTTTTCCAAAAATTATATATAAATATTTGGTCGTTGAGTTTTTCCATCATTTATGGTCATCTGGATTCAGCTTGAATTCTAGGCCACTCATAAATCCTTTTACTTTTAATTAATAGCATCATGATGTGGCACAATGTGAGTTGTTAGATTAATTTCAACGGCTGCGATTTCGACGCCGAGGGACGCCGCTTCGCAGCTACTCCCAAGCGGAAATTTGGTTCTCGTGGGAGGCACGGCGCAAATTTGTAGCCGAAGTGGCTTTCTTCCATAGCCTCTACCGGCATTCGGTACCGTAAGTCTGCTTTACTTGAATTGCAATCAAAACCCTCTTTCTCCTCCTCAGAAGAATCAAACGCGTAGCCAAATTGTGCAGGGGCTGCGTTCTGTTGCGTTCTGTTAAGGTGTCTCGTGTCTCGCTCTGTGGTTGTACTACAAGGTACACTGTACAATCCCACTGCGCATTCCCTTTTGGCGTTTTCTCTTCTACGTCCCTAGTGCTCCAGAAATATTAATTGTTTTAGAGACGAGGGATTGCTGATTTCATACGTGTCGGTTCATGCATGCACGCATATCAATTCCTCCCAAAATGGTTCTAGTGTGGGGTTCGATGATTCTAGGTTTATGAATGTTTTTGGTTCCTCGACCCGATTTTATATTTTATTTCCTACGGCGGTCCCGTTGACTGTTATGATAAATTGTCGTTGTTTACCGCTTTTAGTTTCCGGGGAGGGCTTTGATTTAATTATAAATTTCTGTGGTTGTGGGTGACATGGGTTCTTGTTTATCTCTTCTCAATGGGAGATAGTGGTGTTCACAAAGGGTTCCTTTATTTTTTTGTCCAAAAAATCGTTACTTGTTTAGTGTTTCGTTTGTGCATGCAGAGACAATTTGGGCCGAATAGGGGTATGGCGTCTTCGGATGATGAGGCCGAAGTTCATCCACAATCTGTGTCAAATTACCATTTGGAGGATGATGAGAAAGAGCCTGTTTCATTTTCTGTATTGCCAATTCAATGGAATGAATCTGAGGATACAGATGGCGAAAGTGGGCAAGTGTTCCTTGACGGTTTTGCAGACAATGGGCTGCAGAAAGTGTTTAAGCACGTCGTTGCATGGAAGTTTGACGTTTTCGGTAGAGAACCTGAGATATCAGTGCTATTAAAGGGTAGACAATGGATCAAACTTGAGAAGCCAAAGAAGTGGTTTGAGAAAACCATAAGGACGATTTTGATCACTATTCACTTCCTACACTATGTGCAGAAATATCCTGAAACATCTGCTAAATCTGTGTGGGGCTACTTGTCCAAGGATTTTAGGTGGCTTTCAGACTTTGGACTTTTTTGTTCTTTTTCTGCTTGGTTCATGAGATTGGGCACTCACAATTTATTGTTTTTCAATGAAATAATTGCAGCTGTTATGAAGTTAGGCCTTCACAAAACGATTTGTTGAGCCATTTACCTTTAATTCGTGAAGCTGTTAAAAGGAATGCCAATTTAATTAAGTCCCAGGTTTTACTCTCCCTTGTCATGAACAATTTGCTAGTGAACTGTGAAATTAGAATTTATTCTTCTCCTCTTCATTCCTCAATTTTGAAACACACATGTAAATATGGTTTGGAATTATATTCATTTGCTTTTCTTTCTAGTTAAAATAATTGCTGCTTGATAGAAGAATAAACCTTGTTTCTTCTTATTGTACTGTTGCCTCGGGATGTACGGCTAAACATGGTTGGGTTGTGGTAGTGGATGTAAGACCCTGAAATTTAAATAGGTTGTGTGTATAAATATATCATGCAGGTTAAAAGCAGCCATAAATAAAAAAAGAAACGACAGTTGGGGTATGTTTACGAGGAAACATGCAATAGTGCAAAGGTTGGGGCAGTTACATTAGCAATTACAACAAAAGGGAAGTAGTGGGGACAGTTATTGTTATGTAATCTTAATAATGACACAGGACTGTTCAGATAATCAAGTTAGTTATTGTTATTTACATAAGTTTTAGAATATAGCAGTTATGGTCAATCTTGTTTTCTATATAAATAAACCCTTGTTAACCCATTGTATGCTAAGATCATTTTGAATACATGTGATTGGTTCAGTCCTCTTGTTCACTCTTTGTTTCTCTATTCTTTCCCTTTGACCCTCTGATCTCTTTCCCTCCATTTCTCTTACTCTTCCGTCTTCCTTTCTTTCCCTCTTTTCTTATACTTCCAATGTTATAGAAGGATGACAGTATCAGAGCCACTAGATTCGTTGGCCATGGAATCCCATCTTTCTCTTTTCTCACCTTCCAGTTTCGGATGATAGCAAGATGTGGCTTAGGTAGGTAGTGTGGCGGTGTGAAGTCTTTGGTGATGTCGTGAGTAAATCAAATATACTAGAAAGATACCTAGCTATGACATATATATCTGGGTTGAAAGAAGAACTTTTAGAGGTCCAACTATTGCCATCGGCGCAGCAAGGTTGTATAGTGTTGACTCCATTGTATTCCCCGGTTAAATTCTCTGAGTTGTTGCTTGACTTGAAACAAGGCTATTGTGTTTGCCAATGCATATGTACACTTAGTTAGATCCCACATTTCATTAGCAATCTTCGCTAGTAGATAGCTTTCACCGGGCTCAACGAATAGTTTAGGATAACCAATGGTTCACACGAGACAGCTTGAGGGTTAAGATGCCCTATAAAAATTATTTTAAAAGGAATTTTCATCATTTAATTCATTTTATATGAATTTCTTAGATTCCACTTGAATTAGTTCTTTGTGCGTATAATGCCGCTTGAAACTCAAAAACTAAAAAATTAAGAAAAGAGATTTGAAGATATGCCAATTTGGTTATAAGGACATGATAAATAATTTAATTTAAAACGTGTTGTTGATGTTATTATTATCAGGTTTGGTTTTTGATAGAGCACAATAATACCAGGCAATCCATGTAGCTTGCCTCACTATTTGGAATAAGGCTCATTGTTTTTGTTGTACTATTATTTATATAAGCAGAGCATGATCAGCCAGGGTGTTAGGTAACAATCTAATGACAATTACATGCTTTGGACAGCTTGTACGCATGGTTCTTGAGAAGCCGAGGAATGTCAAAGTGCTGGATGAGGTCTGTTTACTGTTAATTATTTATTTCTCTCCGCTGTATCTGTTTCTTCAGGACCTCTTATATATTCCGTTTGTGCTGTTTTTGAATAATCTCCAACATTTTATGCTCAAATTGATTTCAGGAAGCTAATAATCTAGCAAGGTCAGGGTTTATAGTTAGCGATGATGTCATTGATGAGGCTGATGATGCCACTGATGAAGCTGATGAAGCCATTGAAGAAGATGTCATTGATGAAGCTGCTGAAGAGCCTGTCAAAGATGATGAACTGTTTGATTCTGTTTGTGTACTTTGTGACAATGGTGGTAGATTGTTGTGGTATGAATTTTATCTTATAAAGTAAACTGTTTCTGTACTCAATGTACAAATTGCTTAGCTCCTTTTTTTTTGCAATTCTATTTGAGTTTCTCTTCTCATGATGATGTTTCAAATTATAAATATAGTTGTGACGGAATATGCATGAGGTCGTTCCATGCAACAGAGGAGGATGGTACAGTTGATGGTGCAGATTGTGACTCTCTTGGTCTTACTCAGGAGGAAGTGGATGTATGTGTCCATTCTCATATTTATATCTCAATATTACTTATCTTTTCCTATTTCCTTGTTCTTTCTATACTAAGTTTTTTGGGATGGAATTTGGCAGGAGATCCAGAGTTTTAAATGCAAAAATTGTGAATATAACCAGCACCAGTGCTTTGTATGTGGCAAGTTAGGAAACTCCGATAAATCCTCGTGTGCTGAGGTATTGCTGTGCAAGATTTTGAACCGCTCTTTATTTGATGATTAGTTCATTTATATGTCTTGTCCTTAAGTGTCATTTGGCATTTGGTTCTTGATATTCACGTATATTTTGTTGCACATATGTCGCCATTTGATATGCTTTCTGTTTGAATGAAGCATGACTTAGTTGTTGTTTATTGTGACCCCTTGTTCTAATGATTCTAAATTCAAGGATTACCTGAATAATGAGAGTTTATTAGGCAGTGAAAGCTTGAAGTCTGTTAGAACAAAGCTAAACGGTGGGTAAATTACACTGTTTTAAATTAGAGTTGACTCAAACTATTGGTGTTGACTTCAACCTTCTAGAATTAATCCATTTAGATTTGGCAACAGCAGAAGACTATGGGAATAAAGTGTTCACTTTTCATAACCTGAGTTGTGAGAGTTACAGACATTTTACTACTATGGGAATAAAGTGTCAGCTTAAAACATTGGATTTTCATGAAAAAGACTTTGCATATTTTGACTTTAGCACCTCAAAGTCTTGACAAAGAAGCAAAGGAACACTTTTGGCTCTTTTGGGGGTGATTTAATAATCTAGAAAGAACTAGGAAAAACTAATTTAGAAGTCCTTATAGTTTTATTCAGTTTTGAATTAAGTCTCTGAGATTATTTTCCCTTTTTGTTGGATCCTTTAAGTTTCTACTGTTATATCTGTTACTCTCTAAAATTTAGAACTGTTAGATGAAGATTAACACCGTTAGAAGCCATGTGGATTCTAAATCATTTTCTTCAACCTCCTTCCACCATAACCACAAGCTTTTCCTTCCTCACCATTTTATAGCTCATCGTTCCATCCCTAACATGTATATCATCAGAGCTTGACTTTTTTGATTACACAGTTGCTATTATTACTTGAAACGTTGTACCCATTGTCAACTAGGATGCCTTCACATTTGGGCTTGGCCATGAAGATTCCATGACTTGTGCAGCAACTTTGCTTTCACGATGGAGGTAACCATGATCAATAGTGAAGTGAATGATGGTTTGGAGGATTTCAGGGGCCTTAGATTGGTGCACCTTTTGATGGCAGCAACGGAGGGTCTCACCGGAGTCAATGGCTCCCGTGATTTGGTTATGGTGGTATTGGTTTGGGAAATTTCACGGCATTTGAAGCTCACCCACCTCGTTGCCAACCACACTCGTTATTCATTTGACCAATCCAACTTGGCTTAGTTGAGACATTTTGAGGAAGGAGAAATGGAGGAGATAGAGCAAAGAAGAAGTCTTGTTTAGGTGATAAGACGAGGCGTGACTGTGTTGGAAGCAAAGATGGTGTAGTTGGAGGGCATGAAGGAGAGCCAAAGGAGATAAGAGGGAACAGGGGATCAGAGGGAGCAGAGTCCAGAGACATTTGTCAGAGAAATGAAGGATAGAATAGTGGAGATGTAGTTTTCTGGCAAGGGGAAGGAAATGCCTTTGAGGAATGAGTAAAGGAGAGAGAAAGCTTGGGGTTATGGTGGAACTACGGAAGGAGGCTGAAGAAGATGATGGTTCAGAATCCACTTGGCTTCTAATGGAATTTTTTGACGATGTTAATTTTCATTTAACAGTTTTTGGTTTTAGGGAGTAACGGGATCTAATGGCAGAAACTTAAAGGATCTAATAAAAAGATTAAAAAAGTCAGGGACTTGATTCAAAATTAAGTAAAACTATAAGGGCCTCCAAATTAGTTTTCCCAAGGAATTATCACCTGTATGCCAAGGACAGGTTTATTAAGTCATCCTTAAAACACATAATGGTCTGCACAATTTAACTGACTTAGTTGCAGTAAATGATCCATTACAACGGGCAACACAATTTTAATGTCGAAAGTAAATAATTACCTTCATTCCAAAAAAAGAAGTGAAGACTTTCATGCTTTAATATTCAGCTAAAGGCACCTAAGATATTGTTTACACAAGGAAGAATCCATCAATATGTAATTAAACTACATCATGACCTGTCCCCTAAAAAAAAAATAAATATGTAATTGATGATTTCATTAACAATTCATTCTACTCCAATTGGAATTAAGTTGCTGGTTATACAGATGTCTACATCACCTTGTCTATGCAGTGGTTAGACTATTTTTAAATTGTAACTAAAAGTTTGTGGGTTTAAAAGCTTTTAATTAATTTTTCTTACTCTTTTATCTTACATCTTTTCTTTGTCAAAATGTTATAACCCCACTTTTCCAATGTTTTAAATCGAGCTCATTGAAATTTTTCCTCTCCCCCTTTCCAGTTCCTGAATACCAAACATGGGGTAAGTCTACCATATTTATCATGCTGTGATAAAATAAAATAAAATGGAAAAATAGGAAAATATCCCTAATATCTTGGGAGCAATTGAGAATAAATGTTTGTGGGCCTTCAATAGTCCTGGTGATCCCTTTATTCGGCTAATGGAGTCATAAATGATAAAACAAATAAGATCTAGTTAGACTAATTCAAAAACTTGGACTTCTTTCCTCCTATTTTTGCCTTTGATAAGTGGCTAGTGGTTTAGGAGTCTTATCATTACTCGCCCCTTGAAAAAATGCTTAAGTTGGAAGTCTGGAAATTGCTGCAATAATGAGTCATGATCTTCCCAACTTGCTTCTTCTACTGGTTTGGACTTCCATTGAACTAACAGCTCTGAGAGAGGTCTTTTCCAATGATGAGACAACACCTTTTTCGGTTCTAACAGCAGCCCAAAGGTCAGTAGAAATTGGTAATTCAGTAGGAGGATCTAAAAGGGGTTGTCCGTGGGCTGAGCGCAACAATGATACATGGAAGCCCAAATGAATTCTTGTTGAAGTAGGAAGCTCTCACTCATGAGCAATAGATCCCACCTCCCTTATGACCTTGTGTGGGCTAAAGAATTGTAGAGGAAGTTTAGCATATTCGTATGAGGAAGTGTTGTCGGAATGGTTGAATTTATAGGAAAGCTGCATCCCCTGCTTCAAAAGTAAGCTTATGTCTCTGCTGATTTGCACATGACTTCAACTTGGAGTGTTAGTGAGAATACTCTCTCAGCCCCCTTGTTTTGGTTAGACTTGCTCCCTTCAATTTTATTTGACCTTGGACCACACTGTGTAATTATTGCTTTTTATTTCTTCCTATGTTTTTGACTTATTCTCTATGATACTAGTAATAGAATATGGTTTTATCTATCCTACATATCTTGTACTCTGGATTTAGCTCATCACATTTGAAATTCATCCTCAATTTCGCTCACTTGGTCTTGCTAGAAAGCTTGTCAAAGTGTTTTTGGCCTATATGTCTCACTTTCCTCATCCTTTTCCCTACTTAATCAACTTTTATTTATTGTGTTTGACTTCTTTGAACTACATTGACTTTACTCTATCCAAAGTCTTGAGTCAACAAACTTTTTTACTAAAATTTTGCCCAAGCCCATATAATTCATGAAATTCTTACTTTGGATGTTTCTTTGGCAAATTTTATTTGCCATGTTCTTGTTTGATGAATGATGAATGTCATGTGTCATTGTGTATGTTAGGTGTCATATTCATTCCTACTGACCACGATGGCCAATGATATATTGCAATTTGAGGAAGTGGTGTCTTTAATGCCTTGTTTAGAAATAGGTAGGTGTGTTCATGAGTCTCAGGCCTGCAGTGCCTGCACAAGCCTGCTAGAATTGTGCCTAGCTTAGCCTTGAAAAAGCAGCTTGAAAAATAATTGGGCATTTTCAGGCTGGGCATTAGGCAAGGCATGCTGCCCTACCCATTTGGCCTTCCCTAGGGTTTATATATAATTCCTTAATATATATAATATGCATATATTCATTATATATAATTGTATTTAATATATTTGTAATATACATATATCTTAGAATTAAATGTTTCAAGACTTAAGTTGTTGACATTTATGATTATGGATGTTGTATGAAGACGTATCATGTTGTGATTATGTAACTATAAGGAGATATGGAATGATAGATGGATGTATAGATTTGTAGTATAGTGTTCATATTTATTCTCTTGGAATATTTTAAGTTGTGAAATTATAAAATATATTTAAAGTCCAAAATATTATTTATTAAGTTTGGTGGAGATTTTCTCATAATATGACTTGGGTAGAGAAACCCACCCTACCTAGCCCTGCCCAACATTGCTTGGGAATTTCATTGGGCTGCAAAATGCAACCCATTCATAAACCCTGCCAATGTGCAGTCCTAGAAATATGTTGTATTTGCTTGATTATTCTCCTGCTGATTTAGCATATTTGTTGCGCCAGGGTTCTGCTTTATATTTATTTTTCTATGTTTTTGTTTTAATTTGTTAAAAAGTGGAGGCTTCATGGGGGGCCTATTTGTGTTTTGCGGAGCTAAATGTTTTCTTGAAATTTTTGCTAGGTTTTTAAATGTGATGTTGCAACTTGTGGCCGCTTTTACCATATGCACTGTGTTGCAAAAGAACTTGGGAAAAGTATTACTGATGGCGAAAGTTTTGTTTGTCCTATTCATTCATGCTACGTCTGTAAGGAAAGAGAAAATAAGGAGGAACATGAATTGCAATTTGCTGTTTGTCGGCGTTGTCCTAAAGCATATCATCGCAGATGTTTGCCAAGGTTATTTTTGTTTTTCACTTTTGCGCATGTTTTTAACTTGCATTTTCTGGTTTTGCATCTAGTTGATTCATGTTGAATGTGTTTCATTAGGGAGATTGCGTCTGAGGACAATAATGATTTTCCAACAAGGGCTTGGGAAGGCCTATTACCAAATAGCCGAATACTTATATATTGTTTGTAAGTTTAAAAAATGGGAGATCTTATTGTTATTTATCTATGTTGTGGTCCTCCTTTATTTTATTTATCTTCTTCATTAATTGAATCAGAAAACATGAGATTGATGAGGAACTTGGAACTCCGATAAGAGATCATATCCGATTTCCCAAGATTAAACATGCTGTTCAGGAAATTGATTCTTCCTTAGAGGAAGAGACAAAGCCTTCAATAGAAGATAGAGTTCTGCCAAACAAAAATAATGCTGATCGAGATGATTCTACTTGCAAACAAGTGAGTGCAAAAGTCTTGAAACTGACTGAGAAATCAGCTAAGAAAGTTAGTTATAAGGAAGGGTCTGAACATATCATTTATGGACCAAATATCTTGAGGAAACGAAAAGCCAGTGATGTAGAAGGGAGGCACATAAATGGAAAAAGGAAGTCTATCCCTACAGAAGGTAAAATCCTAAAGGGCAAGGAGAGTCAATTCTCATCAGGTCGAAGATTGCGTAATGCTTGCATGACCAAGAGTTTTAAGAAAATTGAGCACGAGGAGCATGGCGCTGATGGAGCTAACAAGTCCCTCCATTCAAAGCCTACGAACAAGGAGCCAAGTAATACACTGCTTCAACTAGACTCTGATAGAGAGAGGAGGTGACTGTTTAGTTCACTTAT